AAGGGCTACCAAGTTTGTTCAAATAAATGACCTTGACCCACTTTCAAGGTCACAGGGGTCAAATATGTTAAAATCTTCAAACAACTTCTTCTCAATAACCAAAAGGCCCAGGGTACTGATATAGATCCTGTAGCAAGCTGGGATGAAGGGCTACCAAGTTTGTTCAAATTAATGACCTTGACCCACTTTCAAGGTCACTGGTGTCAGATGTCTTTAACATCTTCAAACAACCTCTTCTGAATAACCAAATGGCCCAGGGTACTGATATTAGGCCAGTAGCATGCTGGGATGAAGGGCTACCAAGTTTGTTCAAATAAATGACCTTGACCAACTTTCAAGGTCACAGGGGTTGAAATATGTTAAAATCTTCAAACGACTTCTTCTCAATAACCAAAAGGCCAAGGGTACTGATATTGGGCCTGTAGCATGCTGGGATGAAGGACTATCAAGTTTGTTCAACTGAATTACCTTGACCAATTTTCAAGGTCACAGGGGTCAAATGTGGTAAAATCTTCAAGCGTNCTTCAAGCGACTTCTTTTCAATAAGCAAAAAGGGCCATGGTACTGAAATTTGGCCTGTAGCATGCTGGGATGAAGGACTACCATTTTAGTTCAAATGAATGACCTTGATCCACTTTCAACCTAATGTCCTTGTTCGACAACAAGGTCAGAGGCGTCATATGTTTAAATCTTTTAATAGGTTCTTATGAAATCTTAAGATTACAAGTGTTAGATTAATAACAGGTGAGCGATGCAGGCCCATTGGGCCTCTTGTTTTATATGGTTTAGCTAAGATCGTTTTTGAGGATATGTTTTATGTGGTTTAGCTAAGATCGTTTTTGAGGATATGTTTTATATGGTTTAGCTAAAATCGTTTTTGAGGATATGTTTTATATGGTTTAGCTAAGATCGTTTTTGAGGATATGTTTTATGTGGTTACATTAGCTATGGTCGTTTTTGAGGATATGTTTTATGTGGTTTAGCTAAGGTCGTTTCGAGGACTTGTTTTATGTGGTTTAATTAGCTATGGTCGTTTTTGAGGATATGTTTTATGTGGTTTAGCTAAGATCGTTTTTGAGGACTTGTTTTATGTGGTTTAGCTAAGGTCATTTTTGAAGACATGTTTTATATAGTTAAGCTAAGGTCGTTTTTGAGGATATGTTTTATGTTGTTTAATTAGCTAAGATCGTTTTTGAGGACTTGTTTTATATGGTTTAGCTAAGGTCATTTTTGAGGACTTGTTTTGTGTGGTTAAGCTATGGTCGTTTTTGAGGACATGTTTTATATAGTAAAGCTAAGGTCATTTTTGAGGACATGTTTTATATAGTTAAGCTAAGGTCGTTTTTGGGGACATGTTTTATATAGTTAAGCTAAGGTCGTTTTTGGGGACATGTTTTATATGGGATGTAACATTTATTCTGTAAAAGATATCTTGATAACACTTACATTAAATATCTGCATCCCCTACGAGGTGAGGATTGCACTGAAATTAGGTCAGAATGAGATGTTCACCTCAAAGTCAAAGGTCAAGTTAGTGCATAATTAGGGCTTTTCACCAACTGGTGAAAAGACCTATTGTTTTTGTTACGTTTCTTCTTATTATTATTATTATTATTATTATTCTCCCCTAATTTGTGAATTCTGTATCTTTTGATTGGTAAAAGATAGGTTTATAGTCTTTTAGGTATGTTGTAGGAAAAGGTATGAAGATGATCAAGCAACATTTTGAAGTAGGTTAAAGATCCAATATGGCCGCCATGACGTCATACCTAAAAATCTTAAAATGGCCATAACTCAAAAACGGTTTCATTACATATTAATACAAAATATTTCAAATAAAAAAGCTTGCTGTTGGGTCAAAAGTCACCATTTTTTAAAAAACATTCATTTTTCATTGTTTTTGAAAAATACTTCTACAGATCGATGGAGGATGTCATTCCGATGAAGTTGATGTCTTAAGTTTTTCTGTAACATTTACCGTTAAGGTTGTACGCCATTTTGAAATATTTCCTTTGATCTTTTAAAAATTTCACAATATTTTAAAACTTGTTTTACTCCAATATCAATGACAAATATTTCGTTTAGTTGTAACGTGAAAAGTTTCCCTAGATGTCTTCTAACATTTGGTAGCATTTTCAACTTCATCGAAAAAACAAAATGTCCGCCATGACGTCATACCTCAAAATCTTACAATGGCTAAAACTCAAACACGGTTGAATTTACAGCCTTTAAGCACTGACATCATTTGTAGATAAAGTTCAGGGCTAACTTTTTTCCGTTGTATATTATTACTTAAAAGTTCAAATGAAAAAGTTCGCTGTTGGGTCAAAGGTCACAATTTTTAAAAAACATTCATTTTTCATTTTATTTAAAGAATTCTTCAATAGATGGATAAAGAATGTTATTACAAACTTATGTTACTTTTTGGAGCAATTAATATTCCAAGATGGCCACCACGAATTCTGATTGGTTAACAGCCTATACCAATATGTTTTGTTAACGATATCAAAAACGAGGTTGATCTTTGGATATCATATAGAGATAAGCAAGAGCAAACTTTTTCTTTCATACTGTTTTAACAAAAAATGTCAACTTCCGTTTTTCTCCTTAAGTTCCACGAGGTCTAGAGTCTTGATATTTAATGATAAAGATTCTTAGATGACGGGGTATCAGGTTTGAAAAAATGGCTGACATTGATCAACTTTCAAGGTCACAATCAAGGTCACAAATTTCAAATGTTTAAAAATCAAAATTACTTTTAATCAAGAATATTTCAAAAATTGTTTGATAGATTCACTTTACATTCAGGTATGATGTGGACAACACAAATGCGCTCATTTTTGGCAGAAAACATTTTGAGTTTACCAGGTCGAGTTTTGAGTTATTCAGGGGTCAAACTTCATATGTGCTATTTCAAGATAATGACTTCAAAAAACTTCTTCTAAAGTTCTACAAGGTCTAGAGTCCTACTATTTAATACATAACACGGCGAGGTAATTGGCTATCAAGTTTGAAAATATGATTGACCTTGAATGACTTTCAAGGTCACAGAGGTCATATACTGTATGTAAAAATATTGAAACCACTTTTTCTGAATAACCAATTTTTCCAGGGTAACGATGTTTGGCAAAGAAGCATGCTTGAATGAAGGGCTTTAAAGTGTGTGCAAATGAATGACCTTGACCTAATCTAAATATAATTTCAAAAGTGAAAGTCAAAAACCGTTTTCATTTTTGTGCGATTGTCAAGTGCTTTCAATATTCTCAGTACTTTGATTTATATCGAGACATCGAATACACGCTGGTTATACTACATCGATTACTACGCACTCTCAATCTTAAAAGTATGGACAGTTTACATCTCTACTGCAGTGGGCAAACATCAGCCTTTCTTTGGCATGGCAAACCCAACCGATATAGATAAAAAGCTAGGTTCAATTCATCTTTCTGACGTACAGAATGGACAGACTATATGACGACATTTACGGACTACATTCGTATACAACTAGGCCCATTGGCTGCCTATATTTATCCATTCTTTCTCTGACGTCATTTTGCACTCCGGGAATCTCCCACTACACTACTCAGTCAGCTACTGTAGACTTGCACAAGTTATTATTAGAAAGCCAAATCAGTCCTTACAGTGAAAAGCCCGTCAAATTGTTAGCCAACAATTTCTAGTTGCCTGTGATATCTTTCCAAACTTCAACTTTTAAATTGTAAAAGATATTTTGATTAATACATGTATCAGACAATCAGCCAAAGTGCTGTACAACAGAATTAAGTCACAATGACCTTCCTTTCCAGGTCAAAAGTGAAATAAGTGCAGAATTTTGATGAAGTCTTTTTCTGGGCTGTACATTTTAAACTATGAAATATATCTTATGAAAAGAAAGAAATCTGAATC